CCTGCGGGAGGGGCGGGGAGGTGAAAACGACAAGTCAGCGCGGGCTTCATTTCCGTGAACACGACGCGCCGGCCCGTTCCTCCCACACGGCGACGCCTCAGTGCCTCAGCCGGGCGCCCTGGGCTCCCGGCCCCGGGACGCCCTCACCCACACCTCCGACGTCACCCTGCGTGTCGGGAAGGCCACGCCTGCCGGCTCGGCCCCGGCCTGCAGGACTGGCCCGGCTCTCGAGCACGCCCTGCGACACTGCAGCCCCGCGCCGTCTGGTCGCCACAGCTGCTTTCGCTCTGGATGCCAAGATGCAAGTGTGTGGCTTCCTCTGGCTACGGCCAGATTCAGAGAAGAGCCACGTGAGCCATCCCCGCCCTGACAGCCATCGTCAGCTCCCTGGGGCAACAGGGTCCCCTCCCCAGCGACAGCGGCTCACCGGCTCACTGGCCAGTGTCACGTGCCGCCCCCTGGAGCACCCACCCTCTGACCGGCTCTCCTTTGAAAGCGCACCTTGAAAAAATTCAGTCTCATTTACGAAAAGACAGAATTCTAAGACGTGTAATTTGCGGCCCCTCATCCTAACCTTCAAGACAAAAACAACAGTATTCCGGGAAATGCAAGAGGGCCTTCTTTAAGAAGGGGGCAATGACAAAAATATAAATAATGGTAATAACTGCATATCTAGCAACAATTACTTTAAGTGTAGATGGGTCCGCTCGGTCCCATTGTTTCAAACTGCTGACGCGCTTCACTTCCTCTCCGTCCGGGCCTCCTGCTTCCTTCCCGACCGTGTCCTCTGCTCCCCGATTTCCCTGCGCCCCAGGTGCTGCCAACACTCGGCAGCAACAACGAGGCCACACCCCTGAGCCGCCCTCGAAGTGGCTTCACAAACCCAGGACGGGCTGGCGCGGACGCACCCCGCAGACAGGGCCGTGGCTCCCGGGTTTCCCGTCGCTAGTGTCTGAGCGTCTCCGGGGGGTGCTGCGGGAGGGAGTTCTGAACTTCAGAAACAAAGAACTACGATAGACACGTCACCGTCGGGACACCAGCTCAGGAGATGAAAGGAAGCTTTGAAGGGAGATTTTTGTTGATTCGAAACAAAGCGTCGGGAAAAAGTTTAGGGTATTTTTTAGAAATTAAAAAAAAAAAAAATCGTTTTTAGAAATAGAAACAAGAAACTGAAAATAAAAGCTGGGGAAATTCCCCAGTGGTTTAAGCGACATAAACGAAGGCAACTTCTTCCCTAGCCCAGCGACGAGCAGGAAACAAAAGAAACGTAAAGGTGCGGTAAGTCAGACAGAGAGAGACAAATGCCACAGGATGCCACTTACGTGTGGCACCTAAAGAACAAAATAAACGAACATACGAAACAGAAACAGACTTATACAGAACATTTTGAGGGGCGCCAGATCAGAGGGGAATTGAGGGGCTGGGTGGAAAAGGGGAAGGGATTAAGAATACAAATGGGTGGTCACAGAATAGTCACAGGGAATATGATCAGTAATATTGTAACACCTGTGCACGGTGTCAGGTGGGCACCAGCCTTGTCGCGGGAATCACTTCGTAACTGATACAGATGTCTAATCGCTATGTTGCACATCTGAAACTCCGATCGTATTGTGTGCCAACAGAACTGAAAAATAAAGTTATTAAAAGAAAGAAAAGAAACTGTAATTTTTTTTCCGTATTCGATTAGATTCAACGCATTGAAGTTATTAAAGTTAATGACTCTGAATTCGCCCCCAAATAATACACAACTACAGACAGAGAGTTTAGCGTTTTATCCTCATTTTTAACCTACCAAGTGTAAAGTGTTCACAAAGGGTTTCAATAAATACATTAAGGCTCAAGGTGATCCCCGGCGACCGGGTGGGGTCGGTGTCGCGTGCACCGCCGCACGCTCGGAAGCTAAACACGCAGCCTTTGCCACGGCACAGGGGCCGACGCTGCTTCCCGCCCTCGACGCCTCTGCGCACTGTGCTCCTGAGTCTGACGAGCAGAGAACGGTGCGCTTTTCTGACGGGCGAAGAGGTCGCAGTTGCTTGGTGTGACCTGGACGTTCTTCAGCACGGGGCCTGGTCGGTGACGAAGGTGAGTCAAGTGCCGCCACGGCCAGGCTGGAAAGCTCACGGAAAAGCGGGAGCAGCCGCAGCAGGCACCGAGGAGGGCGGCGTGGGAGGCCAGCCCGGTCCACCGCAGACGGGAGACGGACCCACGCAGAGGGCGCCGCCCGTGGCCCGTCCGCCAGGACGTATCCAGCTAGGTGCTGTCACTCAGGAAATGCCGGGAGGACCTTCTCGGAGGCCCCCCCTGCCTGTTTTCCTTAGGAGCCCCTGCTGGAGCGTCGGTGCCACAACGGAGGCCACTCGGCACCTCCGCACCACGGACGCAGAAACCGGCCATCAGTGCGGACTGCGCAGGGTGTCCCGGGGTCCCCCGCCTGCGAGAGAAGCTGGCAGCACTGGTCCCCCGTGTCCAGGGACCGCCCCAGTGCAGAGCAGGGGGCCTTCCTGCAGGAGAAGCGGAGGCGGGCAGTGCGTCTGGCGCTGAGGGTCGCCTCTGTCCTGAGACCGGCTAGATGGACTCCAGGATCCAGTCGCTGCTGGTGAGGGTGCAGGCAGGCAGGGACAGGGCCCCCGGCGGGCCGCGCCCCCTCCCATCGCAGACCCTCCCATCGCAGAGGGGGCTCTGGCCCTGGATCTCGTCCTCGTCCTCATCGAAGAAGCCGTTCTCCAGCGCGTCCGCGCCGTCGGGGCTGGACGCGGCCTGGCACGCGCCCTTGTACTCCTGGATGGACTCGTAGAGGCTGTACAGCTGGCACAGCAGCGACATGTCCAGCTGTCGGAGGCCGACCTTGCAGGAGGGGCGGGGAGGTGAAAACGACAAGTCAGCGCGGGCTTCATTTCCGTGAACACGCGCCGGCCCGTTCCTCCCACACGGCGACGCCTCAGCGCCTCAGCCGGGCGCCCTG